CACTCTGTAAAGGTGATTTTTTATTTTTTGAAAACTAAATTGCAACATTTTACAGTAAGATAATGGCGAAAGAATATATTTTTCAAAGAAAATGAATATGACCGTTTTTAAAGTGCCCGAAATAAATGCTTTTTTAAAAGGTCTTTTCAAGTTTGTAGCTCAAAAACTCGCAGAATTATGATAAAAATAAAATGGTCACCTCACTTTTTCTGAAAAAAATTAACAACAAAATCTATGACTACAATCATAAAAATAAAAACTGTCAATCTTGAACATTCTTGAACTCTTCATTTTTAGGATATTTTTGGGTTTTAAGGGCTCAAAAAAGGTGGTCCTTACATGCAAGTCAAACTAACAAATCTACGAAATAAAGAGATCTACAGAAAATTGAAAGAGCAATAACATTGCATAAAAGAAGACCTTCAATTTTATTTCTGCTGCATTTTTTACGTATTTTGCTTAGTTTTTGAGATATGTCAAAAAAATTAAAATTTTTTAAAAAATAAAAAAAAATATTATTGTCAACTTTTTTCAATACTGGATTAGGATATCGAAAGGGAATGCATAAAGTAAACATATTATGCTATGCCGATGACGCAGTACTTATTGCAGAGTCAGAGGACGACCTCCAAAGAATGCTACAAGCTTTTAACAGACAGGCAGAAAAACTTAACATGCAAATTTCCACAAATAAGACCAAATGCATGACCATTACAAAGTAGCCTCTACGGTGCAAATTGGTAATAAAAAACAAAACTATTGATCAGATAATGTCATTCGAATACCTCGGATGCAAAATTACAAGCTCAGGATTTCTGGAAGAAGAAGTAAGGAAACAAGCCAATAAAGCTGCCGCAATATCGGGACATCTTAAATATCCCATATGGAAAAACAAACATTTGAGTACAGAATGTAAGTCAAGAATATACAAAACCTGCATACGACCAGTGATGACATATGGTGCGGAAACCAGAGCTGAAACATAAGTAACAAAGAGAATCCTACGAACTACTGAAATGAAGACCTTAAGAATGATAACTGGATACACATTGAGGGACAGACAGAGAAATGTAGACATAAGAGAAAAGTGCCAAACAAACGACGTTGTCAGATGGATAAGGCAGAGAAGAAGAGAACGGAACCAGCATGTCAATAGAATGGGCCCTGACAGAATGGCAGAGGACCTACTGGACGACCACCTAAACGTTGGCAAGATAGTTGGCAGTCAACCTCGCAAGAGTTGCTTAGACGAGGAAACCGGAACTAAACAGGCGATACGCCTTCTAAAAGAAGAAGAAGAACTTTTTTCCAAATTTATGCATTCTAAACCGCTCGAACTTGGAGAGCCCATTGTTAGTACCTAAATATAGCCAACTTTACAAGCATTACGCTTAGTTGTTATTTTTATGATTTTAGTCATAGATTTTGTTAACTTTTTTCTTACATATATCTCTATTCACTGTTAAAATTTCACGTCAATCGGTGCAGGTGTTCAGAATTCGGACCCTAAAACCCTCGCTTAGTGGCCTAAAAAAGCAATTTTCCATTAAACAGAGAAATCATTAGACAGTTGCAACTTTTACAACAATAGTTCAACTCAGTTTATTATAGATTTTAATTTTTGACTTATTATAAAGGATTAACTTTCAAGAGCAAAATGAACTTGCCACAAACATTTTGCAATTTTTTCAATTATCGTTACTTTTTGATGTAATTCTTCACAATGACGAGGTGGTTTTGGCGATTGCTGTTGTGTATGATTAAATGTGGTCTTAGTGCCAAAGATTCTGCAATAGTCATTGATCTTGTTGAAGATTATATCGTCAGAGTTTGTTAAAGCAAATATATTTATTTTCTGATCTAAACTTATTTACTCTATTTTTTATTAAATCGGATTAAGATAAGCAAATTTGAAAAAAAAATGCTAATATTGACATTCCTTTTTTATAACGCCTGTTTACATACCCTTTCGGCAAATATAAAGCAATTACGCTGGTAGTCTGACAAATTATTCGAAAACAGACACAAACAGATGCGCGTTCTCGTTTAGAGGGTAATTTTTCAAAATTTGCGTTTCAGGTTCAACTTTAACATGGCCATACACGTACAAACACACTAACAAAGAAAAATAATTCAATTCCTTTTCGAATTTTTACCGCTTGTTACGGTTTGGGTGTTTTTTAACGTCCTTTCTATTTGTATTTACATATACAGGACTTTTATATTACATGTCAAAATTGAAGTACTTAACTTTAACAATAAGAGAAATGCATTTAGTTTCTAAATTAAAATAATGCAAATTTTAAAATTGGCTGTATTCGCTGCGTCACAGCCAGTGCTATAATTCTTAATGTTAACTTTACTTAAAATATATGTCCATTAATTTAAACTGTTATGGTTTTCATTAGTTTAAACTGTTATGGTTTTATTTAATTCCTAGATATACTTCAATAGTCCGCAATCTCAACAGTTCTGTTGGCTATACATTTGGTGCCCAACGTGGAGGTAAATTCCAAATTCTTTAGTTTATTTACATTTTCCCACTACAGAACAGGAAAAAAACAAATAAGATTTAGATTATTTTTAAAGATGTAACAAATTTTCAAAGAGTACAGATACTAATATTGTCGATATAGTTCGCTTATTTCATTAAAAGCTAAAGACACTGTTTAAATATTTTTTTGTTAAAGAAAACCAATTAATATGATCCCAGTATTCAAACTACATTAATTGACTGTTTACGTTGATTAATAATAATTGCTCTAAATACTAAAAAACTGGCCACACAGAAAGCGTTTTAGCGTTTTGCGTTTTTTGCGTCTCCAGCGCTTTTTGCGATTTTACCGTTTTAAGCGCTTTTTTCGATTTGTATCCATTAAAAACAGGCAAAAGACGCGGCAGGTCTGCAGTTTCTATCAAGATGTCAATTAGTAACGTCGCAAGCTCGTGGATTCCCGGCCCGTCCGACAATCAATCCTGTAAGAAAGAGATAGGCGAGATCGGCACCGTTAACGTTGAAGTGACGAAGATAAAAGATGCTGGGATTGAATTGTGGACGAGCCGGGGCATATATTCGGAGACAAACAATCTACTGCTAGTGGCCAGTGGTGTGTGTAAAAATAATTATTATTATTTGCCATTTATTTTACGAATTTTAGTTTATATGTGTATAGTTTTTTTATGTTGTAGTGTTGTAATATAATAAATAATTATAATTATATAATAGAATAGTAAATATTTATAGTTACTAATACAATTTTAGGACATGATTTATAAAATATTTTGGAGTGAAACTTCTTTACGCGCGCTGGGAGTAAAAATTCAAGGCCGTGACATACGAGCTAGTGAGACGGCCCTGACACACGAACTCGTTGTAACGAAACGTATTAACGGCTTAAAAATACGTAGTGACGCGACGTGTATTTGTGACCAGTCCACGTGTTTATCAAAAATATTGATATTTTAATACAAATTTTGTAAAAGTGAATCAAATTATTACGTGTAAAAAAACTATTTTTATTATTTTACGCGAATAAAATTGTCACAGTTACGCATTGTTAACACTTAAAAAACTATTTTTTATACGTATAAAACTATTTGTTACTGGTAGAATACTATTTTTTATGCGTATAAAGCTATTTGTTACGTGTAAAAATATATTTATTACACGTAAAAAACTATTTTTTACGTCAAAAACTTATTGTTTCTGGTAGAAAACCTTTCTTACGCAAAAGAAATATTTTTTACGTGTAAAAAACTATTTCTTACACGTAAAAAACTATTTTTTTGCACGTAAAAAACTTATTGTTTCTGGCAGAAAACCTTTGTTATGCAAAAAAAATATTTTTTACGCGTAAAAAACTCTTTGTTAAACTATATTCCTTTAATTTATTACTTTTCCAACATTTCAAACTACACTTTTTCACACCATTCCTTCAAATTTTTGAATTTAATAGAATCTTCCTAAACAGTAGATGTTCTTTATAAAACTATTTTTAGATAATACTCTAAAATGAAAAAAAAAATGCATACTATTTAATTTATTTTTACTGTATTATTAAATATAACGTCCGCCTATGACGGGGTCTCATCATCTTGGAAAACGCTACCGAAGCTACAGAAAACAAACTGATTTGTTTTCATTTGCGTTTTTTGCGAGACACGCCGAACGCTACAAGTTTTTGGTGTGGCCACTCCTATATATTCCTGTTATTTTCTACTAGTCGCTAAAGACGCTTCACGCTAAAAACGCAAAAAACGCTTTCTGTGTGGTCGTGGGCTGAGACAGTGTAGTAAACACCTTATATATTTTATTTCAATTTTTGACGAATGCTTATTTATAACAACAGAGACGTTCATTTTCATAGTTCTTATTATTTTATTGATTTCTGAGTCAAATCCACATTTATTTAGAATAATTTATTAATTAAAACAATATTTATTATTTTTTAATATAAATTTTTGGACACTCTGTATAAGGTAGTATAATTTGTATTACTGCACCACAATATTTGATCAATAAATAATCTTCAGTAAATATTTAGTATTAAAACCTTTGATACCCTTGGAGAAATGAGCCTTAAATTTTATACTGCACTTTCACAAAATTGAAAATATTTCAAAAACGGTAAGGTTTAAGTGTGATATATCTTTATCAAATTTACCTTTATTTCAATCGTAGAATCTAAAAATAGAATAATATACGAGGTGTTTAATTTAAGAAATTACAACTATAATATTTTTTACTTATTTGGGACACTCAACGAACCTAAAACTTACAATTTGTAAAAATCTAACCGTTTAGCTACAATACTCCTTGTCGTATGTGGTGAACAACCCTGTATAAGTTTAAGAAAGCCACCTATAAATTTAAAAGAAACTGACCATCATACCTTGCACAATTACGAACAAAAACTTTAAACATTCCCCACACGAACCGACGATAAAATAAATCCAACTCTACAAAAAGCAAATTTCGATAAAACAAAACCTCCACTTACTTATGCTTAAATAATATTGCGTCCCTATTTCGTATGGATCCCACGTCAGGCCCCTGTAGCGCGTCTTCTCTCTGGGTGTGCCGTAATCGGGCACCTCTTTGTGGATGCCCGGTACATTGGGGTCGCCCGTTTTCGCAAAGTTGCTCACGAAATTGAGCAGCGCCTCCGACACTCCCATGTCCTGGCGGGAGTAGTTCTGGGGAAAAAACGGCAGGCCGGCAACAAGGGGCTGGCCGAGAATGTAGGTAAGGTCTTCGCCTCGCACGCTGCCTAGTCTCTGGAAAAATAAGAAAATATTTCGGTTATTTCGAGGCTTAAATAATACTAGTATTTTAATAAAACACTCCTTTTCATATTTCATGTTTAACGAGAGTAATTTACAGTGACGGCTCGTGGTTATTGTTGTAGGGAGGTCAATATCTAAAAATAATTCGTCAATTTTTTTTAAGACCCGACTAAATTTAATTGGTTTCTTATAAGGTACTTGTACGTTTAGTTCAGCGAAAATAAATCTAAAAATAAATACATATTATGTTAAAATGAAACCTACCCTTACATTTTTAAAGAGGTGATCTAGTGCCATTTCACTAAAAATCCAGTCAATGTTCTTTACACAAATTTTCCACGGTAGGATTTAAAAGACACTTAAATAATAATGTCACAAAAATATAAATACATATACAGGGTGTTTCAAAACAAATGCCAAATACTTCAGGGGGTGATTCCTTGTTCAAAATAAAGGGTAGTTTGCTTCATAAACGTTGGGTCAAAAGTCAACCATTAGGGAGATATTGCGGTACAAAGATGGCGGAAAAATAATGTTTTTATTTTTTATCTTGAAAACGAAAAGAGATAGACTAATAAAATTTTATGGAAGTATTACTGTTATGAAAACACACTTTCTGGTAATTTTTTCATTTTTTTAAAATGAGTGGAAGGGGTTGAAATAAACTACCCCTATTATTCTTGTTAACGAAATTTAAAGAAAAATCTTATCAAACACATGCAAAAACATTAATTTGGATAGTTTAGTTTGTTTAGAAACTTTTTTATTTTTTGTATTTCTTTGATAAAACTCACCGATTTGAAATTAAAAAATAAAACGTAAAGCATTACATGTGATCTAGTGCCATTTCACTAAAAATCCAGTCAATGTTCTTTACACAAATTTTCCACGGTAGGATTTAAAAGACACTTAAATAATAATGTCACAAAAATATAAATACATATACAGGGTGTTTGAAAACAAATGCCAAAAACTTCAGGGGGTGATTCCTTGTTCAAAATAAAGGGTAGTTTGCTTCATAAACGTTGGGTCAAAAGTCAACCATTAGGGAGATATTGCGGTACAAAGATGGCGGAAAAATAATGTTTTTATTTTTTATCTTGAAAACGAAAAGAGATAGACTAATAAAATTTTATGGAAGTATTACTGTTATGAAAACACACTTTCTGGTAATGTTTTCATTTTTTTAAAAAGAGTGGAAGGGGTTGAAATAAACTACCCCTATCATTCTTGTTATCGAAATTTAAAGAAAAATCTTATCAAACACATGCAATAAAATTAATTTGGATAGTTTAGTTTGTTTAGAAACTTTTTTATTTCTTGTATTTTTTTGATAAAACTCACCGATTTGAAATTAAAAAATAAAACGTAAAGCATTACATGTCAGGACAAAAAACATTTTCTGATAAAGAATCTAGTGGGCTGCTGTAATTTTTTTAGGAAAAAATCTAGTCGGCCGTTGTTACTTTTTAGGATGTTCCTAATATTATTTTATTTGACATTACTCTACTGCAATACGTTATTATCTAGATGTTTATTATTATCGTTATTATCACTAGATTCTTAATCTAAAAATGTTTTTTGTCCTGACATGTAATGCTTTACATTTTATTTTTTTAATTTCCAATCGGTGAGTTTTATCAAAAAAATACAAGAGGTAAAAAAGTTTCTAAACAAACCAAACTATCCAAATTAATTTTTTTTGCATGTGTTTGATAAGATTTTTCTTTAAATTTCGTTAACAAGAATGATAGGGGTAGTTTATTTCAACCCCTTCCACTCATTTTAAAAAAGTAAAAAACTTACCTGAAAGTGTGTTTTCATAACAGTAATGCTTCCATAAAATTTCATTAGTCTATCTCTTTTTGTTTTCAAGATAAAAAATAAAAATATTATTTTTCCGCCATCTTTGTCCCGCGATATCTCCCTAATGGTTGACTTTTGACCCAACGTTTATAAAGCAAACTACCCTTTATTTTGAACAAGGAATCACCCCCTAAAGTTTTTCGCATTTGTTTTGAAACGCCCTGTATACACATATACATTTCTAAAAGTTTTATTTCGCATTTTTTATATTTTAAGTGAATTCTTTCTGTAAACATTTTTCGAAATTTAAGCAATTGTTTTGATTTAACTGCACGATTTTACAAACTAAACACCATATGTGGTCAGAAAATTATAAATTATTACCTACACAAATTTCGCGCTGCATCTCAAACTCTCGGCTACGACAAAGCTACGGCAACTAAAACTATTTTTTTTTCGATATTAAAAATTTAAATATTGATTTATATTGACTAAACAAAACATAATACGCGATAAACGATACAAAACTTATGTTGTTTAATAATTTGAGTTTCTATAAACACCCAAACTGCCCAAACGGCGAAATTTTTCCAGCGATATGACTGAAATCCTGTAAGATAATCCTGTAATAGAAATAATGCACTAGATATTTCTTAATCAACTATATTGATTCTCAACTAATAAACAATATACGCTGGTTTCTCGACAAAGACAAAAACCGCCACTTTTTATATCGTCTGTCAGTAAACTACCAAATATAAGTGTATATAAAGTTGTCTACCTTACAAATCCTTTTTATAAACGACGCGGTCAATGTATGACAATGGCCAATATAAACTATGTCTATCGCACCTTAACCCATTATATTTTCTATACGTAGTATTACTAACCCTAAAAATGCACATTTTTAACAAAACCTAAACCATGGTACAAAGAATACAAGGTATGATCGATAGCGGCTCCAATTTCGTTCAGTTCGCGCATACCACCTGTGACGTCACTAGGAAAATAATGAATAAATAAAAAATAAAGAAAGTTGACAGGAGATCTGCATTTTTTAAGTTGTGGTTAAGAATTGTTTATATTTTAAGACTTTTTTAGTTCGTTTAATTAAATAATTACTAAAACCAGCAGTTCCAAAATATATTTAAAAATCATATCTATTAACATGGATTTGGACGATAATAGGTAAAAATACTAAATTTGTTTTCTATATTCGGTATAAAATTGTTTATTAGGTTTTTAGTTTGCGATGTTTATGGTAAATAATTTTCATTTTATTGCCTGAATTCACATGAGGACAGATGAGGATATCTATGGAAAAGTAACCACAAGAGGAATTGTTACATCATTTAAAAAATGTTGGGAAGTTTATTGCTTCCCATCGAAAAGTAGAAAATGCCAATGCAGATGAACGTATTGTAATTGTGATAGAAGTAATAACAAAGCGTGAAGTTTATTTAATTAGTGACCTGTGTGCTTTTTTATATGTAGATGTTTCTGGTTTTGAATAACCGTTGAACGACACCCGTTTAAAGGAAGTATTTGCATGCCCATCAGCCCATCAAAGGGTTATATAGCTCAAATTTCCTTTCGCAAATTAGGTTTTATTGACTGAAATTAACTTTTTAAGTGACTGAAATATTTGGTTTATCACATGTCATATCACTGTACTTTTAGGTACAATTAGGCCCGATACATTTCAAAAAAAGTAGAATATTATTTTATATTAAATGAGGTATTGTACTAACAATCAATTTATATTAATAACGGAGATTAAAAAATATCAGACAATAGTTCTTTTTTTTATACTCAAAATAAAATATAGAATACAACAGTATTTAAAAAAATAAATAAAAGTGATGTTTCCGGCCGAGATTCGAACTCGGTCTTTCCTAGCCCGACTTATGCACTGCTCCACAGTAACTTGCTTAGCGATAATTCAATGACGGTATATAAACAAAAAAAAACAGGTTTATAACAATATCTTGCCGATTTGAACTGGCGCGCGGAGCGTGCTGACCAATAGCGCCTGTTATCACCTGTGACGTAGCGACCAACCTGCGCAATATCATACCTTGTATTCTTTGTACCATGGGCGCTATTGGTCAGCACGCCAGTTCAAATCGTCAAGATATTGTTATAAACCTGTTTTTTTGTTTATATACCGTCATTGAATTATCGCTAAGCAAGTTACTGTGGAGCAGTGCGTAAGGAGTCGGGCTAGGAAGCGAGAGACCGGAGTTCGAATCTCGGCCGGGACATAACTTTTTATTTATTTTTTTAAATACTGTTGTATTCTATAGTTTATTTTTGTAGTATAAAAAAAAGAACTATTTATTCTGTTATTTTTTAATCTCCGTTATTAATATAAATTGATTGTTAGTACAATACCTCATTTAATATAAAATAATATTCTACTTTTTGAAATGTATCGGGCTCTAATTGTACCTAAAAGTAATATATTTTTAGTGATATACCATATTGTAAACTATTTATTTTTTATATTTCAGTCACTGAAAAAGTTAATTTGCATTGAATAATTGCCTACCATTAAAGGAAATTTGAGCTATATAATCCTTGATGGGCATATTCTGGGTATGCAAACACTTCCTTTAAATTTTGGGTGTCGTTCAACCGATTTATTCTCAAAACCAGAAACATCTACATATAAAAAGAAAAGCACAGGTCACTAATTATAATAAACTTCACCCTTGGTATTACTTCCACTAATTATAATAAACTTCACCCTTAGAATTACTTCTATCACAATTACAATACGTTCATCTGCATTGGCATTTTCTACTTTTCGATGGGAAACAATAAACTTCCCAATATTTTTTAAATGATGTAACAATTCCTCTTGTGGTTACTTTTCCATAGATATCCTCAACTCTGTCCTCATGTGAATTCAGAGGCAATGAAAATGAAAATTATTTACCATAAACATCGCAAACTAAAAACCTAATAAACAATTTTATACCGAATATAGAAATAAATTCAGTATTCTTACCTATCGTCCAAATCCATGTTAATAGATAATTATTATTTTTAAATATATTTTTGGAACTGCTGGTTTTAGTAATTATTAAATTAAACGAACTAAAAAGTCTTAAAAATAAACAATTCTTAACCATAACCCCAAAAAATGCAGATCTCCTGTCAACTTTCTTTATTTTTTATTTATTCATTATTTTCCTAGTGACGTCACAGGTGGTATGCGCGAACTGAACGAAATTGGAGCCGCTATCGATCATACCTTGTATTCTTTGTACCATGAACCTAAACGGTAACAGATATCGATTTTATATTGTCAATAACGTCGCAAAACTGATATTTTTGTGACGCTTGAAAAAAAAAATATTTATTTCTATCTTTTTTTACTTTTCTTTCAAAATAGTTCTCCAAAAATAAATTTTATTTCAGAATTTTCTTCTCGTATTATATTGCAATTTTTATTTTTATTTCTAGAAAATTCTAGCTTCTCCGCGCGACAGGAAGAGTAATTCTTGCCTCGAGTAATAATTCCGACAAAAAAGAGCCATTTTTGGACACTCCCGAGTTCTTTTTAGACGAGACTCCATTGTGGAATTATAAATTAAACCTAAATGTATTTTTAATGGGATGCCTTTCGAGTGGAAAATAATTGAAGACTGGAACTGGCCAACTAAAATATATCATAAAACAAAATAAATATTTTCAAAATAAGCCTTAAAAGACTTAAAGTAACTCTATTAAATAACGTACTTTGTTTTTCAATTTAAGGAGATTATTCAGAATTGCAATAGGTAAAAAAAAATCAAATCAAAAATTTTTAACATTAAAAAACTATTTTTCATAACTTTATTTAATATTCAGTCCTTAAGACATAAAACAGATGAATTATATCTTTTACAAGAAGAACTTGAATTTTCAGATATCATTGCCATAACTGAGCACTGGTTAAATTTTGATGAGCCTGTGTTTGTTAAAAATTATACCACAGTAGCCAGATTTAATAGAACAAATTTATCTCATGGAGTTACTATGATAATGTCTTTAAACAACCACTTTTTTGATGTAACTAAGTACAATGATTAGTTAACTGAAAAAGTATTCGAATTTTCCATTGTCCACCATAATGCTTATGACCTTTACATTATTTGTATTTATAGAACACCTGACTCTGACGTACAATTATTCTGTCATAATCTACTAAGCTTGCTTGAGTCCCTGCCCTTAAAAAGCAAATTAATTTTGTGTGGTGATCTAAATATTGACTTTCTCAGTGTATGTGCTGCTCAGGAGTTTCTTCAGTCCATTATTGATTCATTTGGAATAGCCATGCATGTAGGCTCATCTACCAGAATATCCAAAACCAGTTCTAGTACTATAGACTATGTTGTGTCATCTTTTGATCCTAACTCAATCGCCTGCAACGTCTTTAGCTCGAGTCTCTCTGATCATGAAGCAGTTTTAACTAAATTCTCGATAAATTCCAAAATCAAAAATGCCCCTCGTAAATTATGCCGTATTTTTTCAGACAAGAATGCTCAAAAATTCAGCCACTTATGTAAAACAACCAACTGGGATACTCGCTCTTATGATGTCGACAACGAAATTTCTATTTTCGTAAAAACATTAACCAGTCTAGCATTCAAATCCTTTCTTCTTAGGTTTATTAAAAATAAGCATAATAAACCTTGGACCGCTAAAGGTCTACGCATTTCTTCTAAAAACATGCGTTCATTATCTCACTTAAAAAAATTCTCAGACATCGTCTTCTTCCACAATTACGTAAAACTATACAGAAAAATTTATCATAAGACTATAAGAGCCGCTAAGGACCTTTATTATAAAAGGAGAATCGCCAATGCTGGTAATGTTGCTAAAGAAACATGGTCTATTGTGAATGATTTGAGAAACAAAGCTTTTTTTCGTCTAGCAGTATCTCTACCTCACTTGAGAACCTTAACGATTACTTCGTAAATGTAGCGAAAAATTTAACTAATACCATATGTCCTTCTCATGATCCGCTTTCATATCTCTCTAATGATAATGTAAACTTACAAAGTTTCTTTTCGCCCGTAGTTTTAGAAGAGCTTCGCAGTACAATTAATACCATCAAAAATAAATCCTCATCTGGGACCGACGGGCTAACTTTAAAAATGTTTTCCAATCTGCCAGAAAGCACTCTGAATCACCTAACTACTTTAATAAACATGTTTCCAAAATGTCTTAAGACGGCAATAATCATTCCTCTGTATAAAGGAGGAGACAAAGATCAAGCTTCTAACTATCGCCCAAGTCCAACAAATCCACAAATTGTTACGGGATTTATATTCTCATAGATTTTCTTTCCTAATTTTATTTATTTTGGGCTCAATATAGTAATTTTAGGACATTTCTTGAATGTAGTTTATTGTTTTATCAAACTTGGAACATTCGCCATTTCTTTAAAATCTAAAAACAATTTGGTAAATAATATAATTTCTAGGCTAAAATATGTTTATTTGCTGTTGCATTACACTTTTTCTTTTAACAACATAAAAAAAAAGGATCTAATTTCACTGTAAATTTCTCTGTCTCGTACTGCTTTATAGTTCTTCAAAGCTAAATACGATGCCTTCTATTTTAACAAGTTAAATTTGGTTTATATTCTCATATTTCACACTGATTCCTTGGAATGTACCATTATTATAAAAATGCTATAACTTTTTTCATTATTATAGTATGGATTTCACTCTATTTTGAATCGAACAAGTGTTGATATCAGTGTAGCACATTCAATTCTTGAACATCATAAACTAAAAGCAAATAAAACCTTTAGTAATTATTAATAGATACTTTTAAATAGATTACTTACGATGTGTGGCTGATATTTAGTCTTTTAAAGGCTTGCAAAATAGTAATTTTATTGAAATTATCTTGAGTAATGTTTTGACAGCGATGTGTTTACAGCGGAATAATATTTGAGGTTATTTTGTAATTTCTTATTTTGCGGCAACGTAAATATCGAGCATATTAGCATTAGTTACCGAATTATAGGGTTTGATTGACAGTTATATATGACATTTATATATGATGGTGACTTTTTGATTGTTTACATTGTATATTGGTTGCGTAATATTATTTTCCTCTAGTACTTTCGATTTCTTCTTCGATTTTCCTTTACTCTCAATACTTTCGATTTATTGGGATTTTATATTTGACGTATTTCATGTTTTGCTCTTAGGGAGTATGTTATTTGGTTTATTGGCAACATTGATTTGCTGTGTTTTTTTACTGCCCTTTTGTCCGGTGTTGCTCCATGATTCTTTCTTCTAGAACGATCCGTCTTTGTGTGCAGACACGCTTTTGGGATCAAGCCTTGTGCTGATATAAGTTCTAGCAAATTCGGTTAAGTAATTTTTAGTGAATAGTTGCCGTTTGCACTATTCAAGTGGAGTTTTCCGATTTTCCGATTATTTGAACCGTAAGAATTTGAGAAAAGAGTTAATGAATGGCCACATGACATCTCAGGTATGTTTTACGCCATTTTGTAGTTTTTCTTGAAGGTAATTTTGAACTTCTTTTTCAGGCCATTTAATTTAGTTTAACTTCGTTTTTATCACCATTTAATTTTGGATTTGATCTCCATTTTACCTTTTTGTACTGCTGGATCTATTATTCGTTGCCGTTGCTGCCGTTTTCTTGCCAGCCAGTATCCAGTTTCTTCACCATGTGGTTCTGAGCTAACCGTCACCTCATCACCTAGCTCATTTGATTCAGAAGACTTTCTGAGACCGACCAGACCGACCACTATGGGGTATTGAAGCCAGCTCACCGTCCGCCGTTTTCCATAAACAATCAAAAGTCAGCAACCATCTGAGTCACCGACCACCGAGATTCTGGAATGTCCTGATAAGTACCCATTTCATTTCATTTTATTGTTTTGAGTTATTTCCGCCGAACAGTCTTATTAATCGTTTATTGAGTTTAATTATTTTTGCGTATTTAAGATAGTTGTAGTTTAACTTCTTTAGACTTTTTACTTGCGGCTCGATCTGTGAACTTACTAGTAAGTGTCGCGAGTACGTATTTCCGTTTCAGTAATTTATAGCGTTTGTTATATATATATATATAACTATTATGACATTTTCTTCTTTTTTTTTTCTTATGACAAAATGACGCTATTTACTCCAGCCTAAATAACCATCATTCTACAGCAACAATTTTCTGTGATTTTTCTAAGGCGTTCGACTGTGTAAATCATAAGATCCTAATTATTAATAAACTGCAGCAGTATGGGTTCAGGGGAACATCTCTCGAATGGCAACAGCAGTCAACTTGTGAGGGTGGATACCACGTTGTCTTCTAGCAAGCCAATAGTAATGCTCAGTACTAGGCCCTATTTTGTTTCTTCTTTTTGCCCGTCTTATTTTTTCCACCGGGTGTTTTGAATTTATTGCATAAAACAACGTTTTGATTTCCCCCGGTATAAACCCACCTAACCGAAGAATATAAGCTATTAAAATAATAAAAAATAATGCCATTGAATTTATCTTCACACTGATACAACAATCTTAAAAATGGGATTACAAAATACAAAGTTGTATTTTTTAAGTAAATTTTGTGCCGGTGAGTACATTTACCTGAGGATAGTCACTCTCCTTCGTCTGATACCCGAAGTGAAAAAAGTACGTTTTCGCACCGCGCCGCGCGTGCAAATACGCCACTCGCACCAACGGCGCCACAGTATGCCCGTCACTCAGCGCTTCCATCGTCGAATCCCGGATATTGATCGGGTGCGGAATCGGCTTGTCCCAGTCGGTATACTCGTTCCGCACGGCACTGAAAATCTCGTTCAGGTGGTACACGTAGGTGTTGCGGATGTACGTGCGCAGCACCCGGTTCCTTTGGTCCTGCTCGAAACCGTACTGGATGTCGTTGGCGTTGAAGTCAGCGTAGCTCTCAGTGGTGGTGATGCCCAGCATCACCTCGCACGTGATGAAGGTCTCGCTGGCGTGCTCCATCGCGTAGGCTGGGTCGGTGGAGTCGTTGTCCAGAGGGAGGGACGGGGCGATGCGCGGCATGAAGCGGACGCTGTCCAGGTAGACGTCCAGGATGGCTTGGAGAGGTCTGGAAATGATAAACTCTTTTAGTTTTATTTGTATAACATATACGGCAGCGTATCCTGCAGATAAAAATCAGTAAGAAAGTTTGTATAAATGTATGTCCTAAAATGTTTAGTTTGGGAGATACAGGGTGTAGTTTCATTTTTATTTCGATTTTTTTCAAATAATTTATGAAGTAACGTCAATATTTGGATGAAAATTGGTGTCTGGAAGTTTTTTTACATGAGAAATTTGATTTTGATGTCAATATGGCTCCTATTTGTAGGGGGCGCCACCTACATGTGTTTTAACTGTTTTGAAAATTAATAACTTTTCGTCCGCACCTGTATAAAACTACCGGGTGAAAAAATATACATTTCCGTGATTTTTGACGTAAAAAATGTCTCTTGATAAAAATCGCTACGATCAACCGGTTCTAAGATATTTAGTATTGAAATAGTCAATACATCCCAATACTGACAAAAAATAAACATGTGTTGATTAGATACTGTTTGACCAGCGGATCTGAAGTTACGGAAGGAATGCGAGAAAAAAAAAATCGATATTGCCACGTTTATCTATAAAATTGCAAAATTGCCAGACATGAACTATAAATTTAATATATTTTTATTATATATAATGTGTTTAGCATATATTCTGACGTATATTACTAAGGAATTTTAACGTAGTTCATATTGTTCGATATGTTTTATTTAATAACTTATTTCTTTCATTCTGTATAATCTGCTCATTATAAAAGTTGAAGATTTCTCAACGATATCATTGGCAAACCGGCATCGCCGCGCATGGCCGCCTATTCATCGAACATGATTGGCGAGTACGTCACAGGATTTGTTACCACGCGGTTGCCATGGCTTTTACGCCTTTCCTATTCGCTTGCTTTATCCCCAACTTCACGGTCTCTTCTGAAAAGAGTAGGAATATTGAATACTATTGAAATATCCAGTGGCGGTGTCATTTTTTTGATCATTATTACTTTATTTCATTATTTTATACCGGTTATCCTAAACTTTATTCCTATATTTTTAGTATATTTGATAGTTAAGTTGTGTTTTATTGTTTTGTTATCTTGTTATAATGTTTTTCGTTCGTAGTTTTTAATTATTAATATCAAGTTTGATCGTATATTTGTGTTTTAAAACGAATAAATTTGTTAAGGGTAAGACGCTACATAGTCAGACAAGAGAAATAATAGCTAATTTATATAGGTAAGTTAATAATAACGTGGATGAAATCTCATTTGGTGTATTTCCTTGTGTTCATAATAGGGTTTGCGATGAAGAAGCTACAGAGAGTTCGCTTGAGTTGCCGCTTAAACGTAAACTTGAGCGGATATTTCTTTATACCGGAGTTAGCGTATCGGCTATAAAAAAATTCACACAGAAGATAAAAAAAAGGCTGAAAACTAACCCCGATAAAATGATATCCTCTCTGGAAAGAAACGACCACGTGAGACTGCTGTCGAAAAGCTCAACGACTTTTTCGAAGTGGTCAGGAATTTGATAAATAGATTTTATCTCGAATTCAAACTCGTCCCCACAATTAGAAAGCTTTTGCAAAAATTGCAGGAAGAATCGAATTTTCCTTTTGCAGGGAAACGCTTAGGGGGTTATTAAAATCAAATGAATTTTTTTGGCGTAAATGTTAAAATAACAGATAAATATTAATGGAGCGGCCCATTATATTGCAGAGAGAGATATAAATATATATACGCGAAATTCGAAAATATAGCCAAGTATTATCTATTTGGATGTAACATATGGGTAGACAATGACCTAACCTTTAAAAACTGCTGGCGGAGCGATACCATATCTGGTGTAATAGGCAATATCAGATCTACTGATGAGTAAAATTATGTTTTGTTTGCGCTTCCAAAGTTAACTATTTTCAAGATTTTTTTTTGCTTAATAGAATACTTTTTTTTGCTTAATAGAATGAATGAAATAGTTATATCTAAAATTATGTATTATAGAAAAAAATATAGTTAGTACAGATATATAAATAAATATACCTCAAGACTCAGTCTTGATCATCTGCTGATGGCAGACATGGTTAGCGAAACGTGCGTCCAGTGTAAAATTAAAAGTGTTTTGGTGTATTGTACTGATTTAGTGTTTTAGTAGTATAACACCAAAGGTTCCAACCCCCAGCTGTAATTATTTCTTCTATTATATTAACAACACAATAATAAAATGATTCAAAATATTTAAGGGAGCTTTAATAAAAGCTTTTAGTGTTTATCTGCTAACTCAACAGTAACGATTCAAACAGCATAAAGTTTTTTGAAAAAAAAATATTAATCTAAGTATTATATTTATGATACACATTATTTTCATATAACACCGTACGCCCATGCCTATTTTATGAATGAAATTGGGCGTGTTTTGTTTACAACTGCGTTCCCATACCGATACCCCGTAGCTACAGATCCGTTGGTCACACTATAGTTATGATAAATTTGAGAACTTTTTATTTTTTTGCAAATTAATCTTAGATTTTTCTTCGAAAAAATGATGATAAGACAGTTTCTGTTAAACTTTTGGCACAAAAACATTTCAAATTTATGATTCCAGTATAACTATTTAGTCAACATGTTTAATTTATGTCAATAATGACAGATATTAACAATTTCGATTCCAAATATCTCGAAAACCATTACTCGTAGCGATTTTTACCGAGAGACCTTTTTTACATAAAAAACGTTGTAAATTTATATTTTTTTACTCGGTAATTTTATACAGACACGGACGAAAAGTTATTACTCTTCAAACCAGTTAAAAATATATAGGTAGCGCCCTCTATAAGTAGGGGTAATAGTGACATCAAAATAAAATTGCTCTTATCAAAAAACGCCCAGACACCAATTTTCACTCAAATATTGACGTTACTTCGAAATATATTGACGTTAAAATCGAAATAAAAATGAAACTTCTACACTAAACATTTTAGGACATACATTTATTCGAACTTTTTTACTTATTTTTATCTGCAGAATATTCCGCAATACAGTTTGGACCACCCTGTATATTACATTCATTCTATGTATTGACCGAGTTCAAAGTCGTACAGCGCCTTGAATTGACTCAACAAACGATACCCATTCGACTAATTATTTCGAACAGGACAAATAAAAGAGTGGAAATTAAATGAAACCGCGAGGCAAACGTTCGCTTTGCTCCGGCCCATTTAAAAAGACAGGAGGGGATCCCTTTTATTTCCCACAACTCCTATTTAACTGATAAATACCGCTGCGCGGCATTAGCATGCAAAACTAACTTGGTTGCTCTTTTTTCGCATTTTTTTTTCACGTTCCCTGTTCGTTTTCAAAACAGTTTCATACGCAAATTAAGTTTTTAGCAGTAAAGCGTATAGTTAATTTTTTGTATCATTTTGGCTGTTAAATAAACGAATAAATTTCAAATGTATTCAGGTAAATCTAAATCCTTCAAAAACATAGTAACATAATTCTTCCACTATAAAAAGTTGCATTCAATCTCATGTAAAACCAAGTCAGTTTATTTTATTTAATCTCTCTTTAAGCACTAATTCAACAATTTTGTTATAAATTTTTAGTATCAATATTAGTCATCTTTATTTTTGTAATAATTATAACGACTTGGCAATAAAAAAGATCATAACTTCCTAACATCCATTAAACACTACGACCTTTACTTATACCGTTATGACACTTATCTCAGGTTTAAAGAAGTAATTTATTGTTGCATGCATTCCTGTGAAGCGTAGGATGTTAGCGATATCAATAATTAAAGAAAAATAGTTAAATTAGATAATAAAATGGGTCCTTTTTGAAAATATAAAGTTATATCCTACCGACTGCGCCATGTTAAATTTACCAGTGAATGCTTAGGTTCTTTATATTCCTAACCTAACCTAACCTAAACAATAACTAAGAATCTTTTATTTATTTTTAGAGGTTTGCTTATTTTTTGGTAAGTTTCAAAAGCCTTATGAATTTACAAGCATGAGCAAAACTACTGACCTCTTAATCTGTTGTTCTGCTTTATTCTGTAATAAAATTGTGTTAATACACCCCCACACGGTTCAAAATATTCTACAATTTAGTTTCCGCAAGTAATTTCGCGACGATTAAGAGAATTCATTCAGCCTGTCAACAGTTATTAATAACCATAAATTCCATCTTTCGCTACGTTCGTAGCTATTTATGCCTCGGCTGTATTATTCTCCGACCTTCCAGATTAATGCACTCATCTCTCGACATGCGGACGAATCAGTTGCATGTGCACATCTCGAAATTCCGAGGGCAGACCGTAAACTGGGCCCCGCAGTGAAATTGCTTGCCGCTGACGGATTATAACGCGTCCTAAATTCGTATATTTATTGACGTTTGAACGAAATTTGCCTCGAGACCTGCATACGTCGTAGATTAAATGTTACATAGTAGAAACTGTACAAATTTCAAGGAGAGTTTAATAGTTCCACGAATTTATTTTGGCTTTAAATATTGTTTGTTAGATGGTTCAGACATGAAAAATAATGTTTTTTGAACATTTGCTCTAAATATTATTTCGCAGGATGTTTTAAGGTACACAATCATCTATATTATACTTCCCATACAGCTTTTTGACATCCATTTAAACATTACGACTTTCACTTATACCGTTATGACATTTATCTCAGGTTTAAAGAAGTAATTTATTGTTGTATGCATCCCAGTGAAGCGTAGAGTGTCAGCGATATCAATAATTAAAGAAAAGTAGTTAAGTTAGATAATAAAATGGGAAATTTTTGAAAATATAAAGTTACATCCTACCGACTGCGCCATGTTAAATGTACGAGTGAATGCTTAGGTTCTTTAGAAAACTCATAACTAAGAATCTTTTATTTATTTTTAGAGATTTGTTTATTTTTTGGTAAGTATCAAAAGTTTTATGAATTTACAAGCTTGAGCAAAACTACTGACCTCTTAATCTGTTGTTCTGCTCTATTCTGTGATGAAATTGTGTTAATACACCCTTATAGAGT